GGGACCCCTCGTGCTCGCCCCGACTGCCCTCAGTGCTGCCCCCTCCCCGCCCACCATTGCCCCGCGTTTGTTTGGGGATGTTTGTGGGGATCTCGTTTGTCCGTTTGCGTGTGGGGTTTTTTAGGGTTTTTTGCACATTTCCTCACAGCTCCCTTACCCCAACAGAGACGGGGAAATTTCTAAAATTTCATCATTCCACACAATGACTCCGGAGAGCACCTTGGCGGGGAAGGCGGCGCAGCTGTCACAGCTGCGGGATAATTGGGATCGGCGGGGACACGGGAGTCACGGGCAGCACCCCAGAGTTTCGGCACTGACGCGTCTCGAAACGCGGGTGTCCCTGAGTCACCCCCAGCGCAGCCCCGGCCGTGCCCTCAACATCGCTCCGGAGCCCGCCTGCGCTCGGACCGCAAACCTGCCCCAGGGAATACAGTAATAGCAGTCCCGGTGAAATATAGTTCGTGTTTTATATGAAAATAACAACACATATAATTTTACCTTTTCTTAGTTTAGCTACTTAGATGAAAGTACTCAGTACATATTGGTATTACTTTTTAGATATTACTTTGAATTCTCCAGTTTCCATCCTGATTTCAGGTATAAGTACTTCCAAAAGTTCTTCAAATTCTTAATGCCATAAGATGTCTAAAAAAAAAAAAGAAACTCAAAAATTATTCTAATAGTTTTCAAATTTCTTTGTAGGGGTATAGAAAATAAGAAAATAGTGTGGACAGTAATCTCACCCCTAAGGAGTTGCAGCTGAGCCAATTAGCAAAGATCAGGAGCAGGCCTGACTTTTAACAGGCCACAGCTGTAACTAGTGAGAAGAAGATGCTATAAAAGAGTGGGGTGGCTGGGTGAGAGGGGAGTTGGAGTCAGTGGCTGCTTTGTGAAGAGGAAAGAGTCAGTGCTCTGAGGAGATGCCCACAGGAAAACCCCAAGAAGGTATAGAACTTTTGCGATAAGGAGACAACAGTATGGAACCCCTGCAATAAAATGACAACATTTCTTGTATTATAAATTAGAGTTATTTTAATGAAGCTTACAGTAATGCAGCAATGTAACACAGTATAACAGAATCATACAAAGAGAGCTTGTATGTGAGGAATAGTAAACTTTCAATCCCACCTAAGTTCTTTGTGTCAAGCAGCTAAAAGAGCCTTCATTGGTAGCATTCACTGAATGAACAGAAAGCTGTCAATCGAGGCACTGCCATGACCACAAAGATCAGGGCAGAACTATAATGTGCAATTACAAACAGCTGAGAAATCCTGGACTAACACCATTTTTCAGGCACATGCTCCAGAGAGACTCTTAACTGCTGATGCTGTAGGGATGACTATAGCACATACCACACTCTGTAACTACAGAACCATATAATCCTATGTAAAAAGGTCCGTCTTGTCCTGAGGGGTTACAGAAATGCCTAAGGAGGAGTGAATATCGGGGAGAGGGGTGTATTATAGGCTAGTATACTTTCAACCTGATACTGCTTTCACTCCAGAGAACTTCCTGAGCTGGCTTTGCTATGTGGCCATCTTTTTTTAATTCTGTTACTCCTCCCATGTACTTATCCACTCATTGGACTGGTTTTAAATCAGCAGCTTCCTTGGTGATGAACTGGAAGCTACCCTTCCACAGGCCTGCTGCCCAGAGCATCAGGAATCTGTTTGAATATTGCTCCAATTGCCTTCATCAATGTGCCTTACTTCTTGTGCTGGAGGAGACAAATTGTTTATATTTGTCATACAGACCTACAGCTCTTCTCTCATCTCAAGACTGAAGAGTCACAGCTAACTCAATTGTTATTTATAACAAAGCTCTTCCATGTCTTTGGATCATCTTTATTATCCTTCTCTGAGCTGTTCCACTTTTACAGATTTTTGGGATAAGAGGAGCTTTGCACAGTATTCAAGATAAGGATGAACAATTACTTACTTTGTGCATACAATGCCATGCTGGTATTTTCTATTTCTTTACCAATAACCTTAAGGTTTTTGGTTTGGTTTGTTTGTTTGTTTGTTTGTTTGTTTGTTTTTTTAATAGGAGCTAAATCAGCACTTCTACCTAGCTTGTCATATCTTCTTAGCTTCAAGTCCATTTTTGGTAAATTTTGACTTCTGTTAATGTAATCATCAACCAATTTTCTAGTAAAAAACCTCACACTCCTTTTTAATAATGTTTTAATTGAAGTAGCCACTAGAAGCCCAAATCAAAATTGTTCTGTTTATACCTAGAACAACGGACAGCTCTGGCCCTGAGGGATTTATTATTTAACAAACAAGACAAAAGATGAACAAAAGAAAATACCATATTGTTTTACATTTAGGAAACACAGTGAGACAGCTTTGACCTATTTTGCTCAGAAGAGTTCACAGACATCTTTGGTAGAGCAAACAATAGAGTTTTGCTCATTTGCAGGCC